TTTTCTGACCGATGAGCTTTGTAAAAATCGACGTGTTTCAGAAAGGTGGGCCATAGAGGAGAAACAATAATGTACAGTATGTGCAAAATAATGTGTTTTTTTAACCTTAAACCGCATAAACACATTTCATTACACCAAATACACAAAATAATGTTCTTTTTAGCAACATCATATGACCCCTTTAAATAGATCATTCCAAAATGTAAATTAGGTCATCATTTAATCACTCCTATGTCATTGCAAAACTGCACGACTTTCATTTTGGGGAACACAAAAGACATTCTGAAGAGTTCTGCAACTGCTTTTGTGAAATACAATTAAAGTCAATGGGATCCAATGATGTTTTGGATGTCATTGACTTTCATTGTATGGACAAAAGCAGTTGCACCATTCACATTTCAAAATAACTGAGGACTGAACCTGAACTGTGTTTGCAACCCAACTTATAACCACTTTACTACCATTACAGGTGCTAAGCTAGGCACACAGTTATTAAATTACCTAATTAACCTTCACTGCCTCATCTAATTTACATTCTCACACCAGAGTGTACTACAAAGCATTGGTATATTTCTAATCTAAATCTAGTTACTTTGTTTTGCTTTATTTCACTTAGCATGTCTAAGACATCCCAGAAAAGACTTGTATTCCACTTTGATTTTCAGATGCGATATGCATTTTATATACAATTATAAGATGCATAGTGCTGTACTGTCACGTCTAATGGTGAAAACCATCATTTTGAATAGGCATAACAACACATCTGAGTTATTCCGGCATTATTTACCTTTTATACCTTTATGCAATTTAAAACTAAAGTAATTTCATGTGTCACATGGAAAATAATATGACATGGCTGTTAAGCCACATTTGATCTTTTATTCAGATGACTTGAGCGAGACATGTACTCGACAAAATGTCAAATATTAATAAACTAATACCAAGGAAGGTTGCAAATATATATTCAGGCCAAAGGTTAGTCCTAAAAGGAGCAGGGACATTGAGAACCCTGATGAAAGCTTAAGACGTCTTGTTTGAGGAATCATAGCGCCCCCTACTGAGCAACAGTGCAATATATTTTCTCTTTTAATCATTTTTTTTTCTCCCCATTCTAAAACATGAGTTTAAAGTTAATATGAAAGCGCTTTAATATATGTACAATTATTCTGCCAATGTAAAGATAAAACATACATACCACAACTGGATTTAGAAAGTCAATATGTTCTTTTGAAGCTGAATTCTCCTCCTCTATCTCACTGTCTGAATCAATAAAGGGCAGGTCATCAGTCTCTGAGGGCAAAAGCAGCAGGTAATCAGGATTAAATAACAAGCCACTGCATATTAAACTACAGTTATGAACTTCGAGCATTGCAGCCAGAACAGATGGTTTTGATTGGACGAGAGTATTTTTACATCATTCCACATTCCTGATCGCATTTAATATAAGTAAGTAATAATTACACTACACTTGTTGAGTAACGTACTTTAATACTCTTTAACTGAGAAACAATGATAAGGGAATCAAAAAGATACATTATTTACTACAATGGTGCTGTTTTATTCAAAATTATTCTGCCATATAAGCACCTGCATAATTGATCTTTTAGGATTTCATCTGATGTTTTATAAATCAGGATGTGTATTTCAAACAGAATGAATTTCCCCCTCAAAAAAAATGTAATTTAATGTTTTTATTTGCATTTAGAATTTTACAGTTGTAATGTTAGATTTATAATGTTCACATTTATTTAAAATAATTTTCACACACATTTTTCCACACACAAATGTAATTATATAAGTCCATTTTTAGTAATTATACAGGAAATACAGCCATAAATTCCATAAGCATCTTTGCTAGAAAACACTTAGATCATTTAACCTGAAAAAAATGTCTAACCTTAACCTGATAAAAATGCTGACTAGCAGAATTACAGAATTAGCAGAAACTAAATTTCAAACTGTGCAAAGCAAAAATATGCAAAAAGTATCAAAATGCTGTAATATTCGCCCCAGTCCAGTGGGCAATCCATATTGTTAAGCCCTGATATCATGGGTCAAATTAAGCTCCTGAAAGATTCATTCACATTACTACCAAAAATGTCTCTGTTCTTACCTACACCAGTGCTGAACATCCGCAGACTTCTGCAAGAGTCAACAGGATGTTGTTTGTGTGCTCTGGGCAGCTGTGGTGCCTGTGTGACAGTCAGTCGAGGAGGAGGATGACTATCACCGTCTGATTCTTCCTCCTCACTGGAGCTCCAGGCAATGTGCACTGGTTCATCTGTGCCAGCATCCCCATTGCCTTAAACGAATACTTTTGTTCAGCAAGGATGCATTAAATTGATCAAAAGTGACAGCAAGAGCCTTTATAATTTTATAAAGGATTTCTATTTCAAACAATGTTGTTCTTTTGAACTTTCTAGTCATCAAAGAAACTGTATCATAGTTTCCACAAAAATAATAAGAAGCACAACTGCTTTCAACAATAAAAATAATCAGAAATGTTTCTTGAGCAGCAAATCAGCATATTAGAATGATTTCTACACTAAAGACTCATCATGTGACACCGCATTACTATGAATTGCACAATTTATGGATTGATCAATCTGTTGTATTACCAGTAACAGACGTCAGAGCCACTTTACGTGCATTTCTGCTCTTCTCTGATGTTTGCAGCTTCTGAAACACAAACACATGATGTTCAGTGCATCTTTAACAGACTGACAGCATTACATACATCTACTGTAACACACCTGAATGACAGAAGTGTCCAGGAAACTGTCCCCACATCTCTCCCAGGACTTTGTGGCAGGTGTGGATGTTCTGGCAGATGCTTTTCCTGCCTTTTTGAAAGTGTCTTTCACATCGTCTGGGAATAGCACACACCTCATGTCCAGGTTTCTCTTCCGCTGAAATCACACACAAACACACATTCAAATTAATTAATCAACAATAATATATACACATATATAAAATTGCGCTATATATATATATATATATATATAGAGAGAGAGAGAGAGTTTATTTTTTTTAGTAATTAATTGATTTTAATTTTGTTAATCTAGACAAAGAGTTGCCACTTTGAAAAAGCTCAAATAGCAACATAGCTTTGTGGTTTTTATTTGATTTACTTAACATTTCATGGTCACTACATAATTATTGTACTAACGTTTACAACGAATGTTATTTCATAGATGAAAAATAAAAAAAAGTAAAATATGAGTAGGTGTGTCCAAATATTTGACTGATAAGTACATATTCATATATTGGTCTCTTTAATTGTTCTCTTTTCCTAGCTTATTATGTGATTTATATTTCTATATAGAAATATACAACTGGTTCTCACAAACATCTGAAACACATTAAAAGTTTAAGAAAATCTGTAAACAAAGTGTTTATTGATCGCTTACCTTGCCCATGATGTTAAGTAAATGTTTTACGACTTTATTTTCCTCAAATAGGGCTTATTTCCTAATTAAATAACTGTTTACATCGTTGTACTGTAGTTCACTCAAATCCAGCACAGGCAGTTTCTTCTTCGGTTCGTCTCTCCCGCTCTTTTAGTTCGTGACGCTGCGCGCTACTGACACCTGGCGGTCAGAGACGTTTTGAGCACAAGATGGATGAAATGGTTTCACAACGGTTTTTAACTTTTTTTAATAGTATTATAAATAAAACCGTCTCTTTTTGTCAAAGAAAATCATAATCTGTCCTCTTAAGACTCTTTATTTATATGACAAAATAAAAACGCACTACGATAACTGAAAAATTATAAAGCTAATGTTCCTTTTCTGTAAAATATGCTAATTTGTGTGATTTGTCAAATATTTTTAAAAGCAATTCAAAGTAAAATTCGTGTCCAAACCTCAAACTTACAGCACGCTGAAGGAGTTTCAAAAGTTTTGATTGGATATTTCCTTTATATTAAAGGCAGGGTATGTGATTTTTCAGAAACACTTTAGAAAACTGATTCGGGCCGAATAGCAAAACAAACTTGTAGCCAATCACCAATCAGCGTGTCTACTCGTGATGTGGAGGAGAGAGCTTTCAGTGCATGGGACGAACATTAGCCGAGCCGAGCGACAGAAAGATAGAGATGGCGGATAAAAAAACAAAAGAGGAAAACGTCTGCGGAACGATAAGGCAAAGAAGTAGGACCCGTGTAAATATTGGATCAGCTTTCCAGCGCTGGAGAGAACTCAAGGAGCGGAGGCCTGCGATCGGATTGCTTTGCTTTTGTTTCTTCTCAATAGGTGAGTAACACCGTGTCTACAACAGCTAAAGTCTGCCTACACTGGACGCGATCAAACAACCGTTGAAAACCATTTGAAATTTGTGTCAGCACGTCATAAATAGAACCCGGCAGCAGTTTTCTGTCGGGGATTTGTTGCGCCGCGCCGCTCACGTCCGTAGACACGGTGTAACATTGGTTTTGCTTTGTTTCACAGAACTAATCGTTGCCTGGGTTGCGTACGTATATGTGGGGTGGAGCTATCAAAATAGGGGCAAGACCCTTTTGGGGTAGGGGCGTGTTTGTTTTGGTGATTTCAAATATCAACATTGGCTACCAGAAATCGCTTACTCTGCCTTTAACGACCAACGTCGAACATTTGGCGTTACAGAAGTCTTCGGTGTCTCATTTAATTTACATAAAACAGCGGAAAGCATGAACTCGGCGATATTAAAACATACGTCTACTATAATGGACAAAAATAATCATTTTACCCTAACTTAATCATAATAAAAACAAAGGATTTATTCCTTTTGAAAGTGAAAGGGTTTTTATTAGGGCAAGTCTATCATATCTTAAGAGATTTTAAACAGCAAGTTAAACATACAAAAAAACATTTAACATTTTTTTTTATTTTTTTTTTTTATTAAATATGTAAAAAGCAGGTCAAGTTATTCACAAATAAAATGCAAACATGCAACACATTTGGGGAATGCATAAGGGGAGATACTGTGAGGGCAATAAAAAGAAAAACATTGTCTATTTATAATTATTAACAGTACATATGTTTACATTCCTTTTCATTGTACACAATAATAAATGACATAAGCGTTGACCTGTGGAGAATATTGACGAGTATGAGGAGATCACGAGAATGCTGTTTTCGGTTCAGAAGGCCTGTGCTTTAGAACAACAGTTAACAAAAATCTTCAAGATGCATCATTTTCTTCAGATGACGGCTGTTTTTTTACTGTACATATAAAGTAAAACATGTTTAGACGCAGAATACGGATTGCACAGTTCAAATGAAATGCTTCCTATCAAACACTGTGATTGGCTTGGATCAAAAACAAAATGAGTAGATTTCATTTAACATGGTGAAAAATTGAGCTACGTTTCCAAATGAATCACATGGGTTTATAATACCAGTATGCATTAGGTTATAATGCAGAATTTTCCATGGTAACCAATAGTTAATCTTCTGAAGGAATCTATCATGAGGTGATGTTTCACAAATGGTACCGGTGGCTCTTTGAGCTACTCTTATTGCAATATTTTAAAATGTAATGGTTCAATACGTCACATCTTAAAACATTAACAGCTTAAGGAATAAAAAAGGTCAATTCGCCTTCATCGGTGTGGTGAGATGAAAACAGCAGGTGGAAACGCCAACAGACTTCAGTTAAAGTAAAAACTGAATGGAGTTGATGTGCAGTGGTTGTTATCACGGGCTTCACACGAACAACATTCACCAATTAAGCTGCTGTTGGATGACATGTTCATAATAGTCATGATGCAATTAAACAGGGCTTCAAAATGAACAAAAAAAGACACGTGAGAAATAAACCGTCATGAGTTGGAGGAAATGAACCCAAAAGCAGTTTTCTGACTGAGTGCATGTATGTTCAGGTGTCTGTTTGATTGACAGCTGTTCAGTATTCGTCCTGTGTGTCGTCAGGGACGTCCTCCTCCTGAGCCGGAGCCTCGTGTTCCTCTCCGCCTGCCTCCTGCACAAACAGTTGTTTGTTGTTAGTTATTTTTAAGGATCTTGTCATATTAGATAGTCAGTTTGTCTGTTATGAACCATGAAAAAACTGACTACGTATGAAGCACTTGATCTGAAGGGTTATAGCACAAGAAACAAGATCGACAACACAGCAGAAAAGGGTCTTTTAGAAATCATCATAGCTATGATGCTTGAAAAGTACATTGATTATTACCAATAAGTTGTACATCTATTCAGTACTGAATGATAATTTGAACTAGAGTAGTAGAACGAAGCATGTTAAAAATAACAGGTCTTTTTTTTTTTTTTTTTTTAATAGCCTGTACAATTCTAAATGGGTTCAAAATAATTATGAAAATTTAAATGATGGCCATTTTTTGGCCTTGACCTAAATCATAAGTGGACTTCAGGGGGGAAATGCAGTGTAAGTGTAGAATATGACCCCTTTTAAGGTGGGAAGAAAGAAAAAAAAGGGAAAAAAATAATAAAGCTCTGTTTTATTAAAACAAAAAAGAAAATATTAATAAATGATAAAACAATAAATAATACTAATAATAAATGAGATGATGTTTTGTTAAAAGAAGAGCAGAAAAAGTTAAATAAATAAATACATAAATAAATGTTTTATGTCTTACAAGAAAAATTGCAGAAAATTTCATTTAAATAGGTTTGATGTATTAAAAGAACATTAAAATTGCAGTAGTGGTAATAATAATAATAATATTAATAATACTAATCTGTGAACAGTGTTAAGTTTTTATTCAAAGAAAAAAAAAAGAGTGGAAAAAATAATATATAAAATACATTAAAAAAACAAAAAGGTGAGACATCTTATTAAAATAATAATAATAAATTGTGTTTTATTAAAAATAAAAAGTACTATAAATAAATAAAAAGTGTGTGTTTTATTAAAAATAAAAAAGTACTATAAATAAATAAGAATGAAGGAATGAATACAGTTTGCTGAAAAAGAACTTGAAGCACTAACCTGGTCGTCTGCAGAGTACAGCACCTCCATGAGTCTCTCCACGAAGGGCCCGTTGTCCTGGCCCTGCTCCTGACACAACAGCTCCACCTCTCTCAGCTTCCCAAAGTAGAAATCTCGCTCCTTCTCCACTCCTTCTAGTGCTAGCTTTAATGTATTGAGCTGCAGCAGAGGAGAGACGCAAGAGTTACCAATGACATAAAATACTGGTAGACAGTAAAAGATGGTTATTGCTTTGGTAGACATGCTTCTAAACAACATAAATCTTCACTGAATATATACACTTCCTGATACCATATTTGATTGGTCAAAAAAAGTCAGTTTACCTTGCTTTTATGGTTGTAATCCCCGCCCCCCAAAAAAAAGTGCCCAAGTGCCCAAAAGTGCTATGTTAACTAGCTTTTAGGTCACGAGGTTCCCAAAAAATGCTTTCTACTGGTCAACCTGTCTGCTCACAGTCTATGATGTAATAAGAACATCTATAAAGATGTCTATGATGTTGTAAGAATGTCTAGGTAGATGCCTATTATGTCATAAGGACATTTAGGAAGATATCTGTGTTTAGAAATCTAATTGCAATATTTTTGATAAAAATTGCAATTTAATGCAATAAAATACCAATATAGTTACATAATAATAATAAATTATTATTAAAACTACTGCTACAAAATACAAAAATAAATAAAAATTTATATTTATTGTAAAATCAAGAAATAAGAAGCATTACTACTGTAATGTGTCACTGTAGAATAAACAAAAGAGCATTTGAAAAAGATAATATTTCAAATTTTATTTTACATTACAACCATAATATTTCAATAGCGCCATATGCTAATATATGATTAAAAAGGACAAATATCTGCTCAGGCAATTTTTTAAAACAAAATCTTTTATTTTTTTTAATATAAATTAATAAACTCTTAATTATGTTCACTTTTTCAAAAAAAAAAAAAAAAAAGCAATTTCATTTAATTTTGCATCTCAAGTAAATGCATCTTGATTTAAAGATGTTTAGATCTTTATATTGGAAAACAAGACAAAAACACTGACAAACATATACACTTTTTGTATTTAATGCCATAACGTTAGAATTTAGAACGTTAGAACTTTGAATTTCTGCTCAAATTTAAGATCTTTTAAAAGCTTATTTTGTTAATTAAGACTTTAAGACTTTTTTTAAGACCTGCAGAAACCCCGGTCTTCTAAAATGCTCTACTAATAAATTATTTCATGGTTTTGTTCAGCATTTACAACCGTTATGTTCTTGATAGCTCGTCTATTTAAAGATTTGAATAGCGTTAGGGATGTCCACCTGATCGTTTAGTTGTGTTACTTGGGCTTCCAGCTCCTTCTCTCCTTTAGCGGGTGTCGCTGACATAACAGGGATCTTTTTGGCAGAGGAGGGTCGGGAGGTGGAGGTGGAGGTGGAGGATTTAGGGGTTGAACTGGTTGATCTAGTAGCTCCTGCACACAAGTTAACGGATGCCATGATGCAATTTAGTAGATGCCAAATGCCAATTGATTGATGATGATTATAAATAAACAATGTCCCAAGCAGCCCAACAGACCTGCGGTGGGAGAGCTGGCGGCATGCTGGGATTTCTTTGGCAGGTTGAAGATCTGCTCGCCGGGATCTGGAGGGGGAATGGCGTCCTGGCCCTGTCTGGCCTGCACCGGGTCGTACTCCTTCCCGTCGTAGTTGGCGTCGAAGAACTTCTTGAACCACTGAATGAAGTCCAGGTTGTCTTGAAACCGTCCCTTGACAAGCTTCTCTACAGGGATGATCTAAGCGGAAAGGAAACAAGATGTGAGTGTAAATGTGAAGAAATTACATTACATAGATAACTCTGCATAACAAATACAGATTTATATGTTAAATTATGGGTTCACAAAGTGGTGTCAAATTAAAATAAATTATTATAAAATAAAAACAATAAAATAAAATATTTAATTTATCTGCATGTCATGTGACCGTTAATTGACAAAGAACTGCAAATACCTGAAGGTGTTATTAAATTATTAAAATATATATTCATATATAAATTCCAGAAATTTCAGGTCAAAGGGGTTCAGCTGACAAAAAAAAAAAAGTTTATGAATCCCTGATTAAATGATTATTTAAAATGATACATGTGATTTTTTTAATGCGTGCATTAAAAATATATTTTATTGCATGCATTAAGAAAGTCTCCATCCGTCAGATATCACTAAAATAGGTGTCCTAAAAAACCTCTGACTGCCTGGAATTTAAAAAATAATGTAAATATTTAAAAAAAAAATTTAAATAAATAAATATTGTGGCCCGGTCATGCTTCTAGCAAATCAGAAACATTTTCTGCATGTCAATCATTTTGCACATTTGGGGGGGGGTTTTTATATCAGATTTTGATGCCTTTGGAGGGTGTGTGGTTGAAAATTAGTTGGAATTGCTTACAGTTTGAGGTATAATGACTGGTTATATGCATTAGGTTTAATAAAACAACAAACTTTTTATAAAACAACAAATATGGAAATTTTTTTAAAATGATAGCACTAAATCAATTACAAGGCTAAACAGTAGAACCAGATCTAACGCTTTAAATTTTCTATTTATTTATTTATTTGCATTAAATAGTAAATATATTTAATAAATGTATAAAATTATTACAACTAGGGATGCAATAATACCACTTTTTCCAGTACTCACCCGATACCGATACTTTTATTTTTGGTACTTGCCGATACCGAGTACCGATACCAATATTTTTATTGCATTTGTACATTTTTCAAATATTGGGTACAGAAACCAAAAGTGTATGTATAATGTTAGTTGGTTAACTTCATTTATCAAATAGATACAGTCAAACCAAAATTTATTCAGACACCTTCAAAATTTTTCACATTATCACAGTTTATTCGCTATAGTTTAGAAAATGGTAATAAAATATAACAAGAACTCAGA